CAGGCATTTTTTATGAAGACAAAGTCACCTTTTTAAAAACAGTGACATTTGTCCTATGATTCATGGCACGGAGATGGTCCTGGCTCTGTTGCAGCAGGGTGAGTGTTGATGTGCATTGTTCTTAGGTAAATGCCCCTGAGAAGCTTGGGATCGCAAAGCAGAATGTGGCACAGGGAGTGGGATGCTGTCCTCACAGACACCTACAGTGTAGAAGCACTTGTAAAATTGGTCCATGGCTTGAGGTTGGAAGAGCAGGAAGGTGCCGAACAGTAAAAATGACCACCTGTCTCAGTTTGTCGTGCTGTGGTGGCTCGTGGGTTGATCTGATGCTGGAAGCGATCTCACCAGTATTTCAAATACCAGCGAGATCCACCACGTTGGATCGGTTTCATCAGAGTTTTCAGAGTAAGAAAACAAATTAAGAATAAGGACTTGGTGGTCTGCTTTTAAAAATATTGATCCCTAAAGAAAATCTTAGGAATAAGAGTAAAATACTGTTAGATACAGTACAGGAAGAGGAACCCCTCATGTTGGAAGGCACTCAAAATAGCACAGGGAACATCTGTCTCCTTAAAGCAGACTTGACCTTCAAGATGCCGATGGAGCAAAACTTTGGGGACCTTCATTTGCTAATGGAACATGCACAACTCAAAATGAGAAGACACATTTGCAGATTAATGATCAATCATTGGAATGTGGACTTTATGAAGGATGAGTCTAGGAAAATTGGAACTTGTCAAGAATGAAATGGAACATATAACTATCAATAACCTAGGCATTGGTGAGTTGAAATGGGTGGTATTGGCCATTTTGAATGAATAATCCTATTGCCTACTATGTTGGAAGTGACAAATTGAAAAAAAACACAGCATTGTAGTCATTAACTAAAAGAGTATTTCAAGTTCCATCTGGCAGTATAGTTCTGCCAGTGAGTGGGCAATATCCATACATCTGCACGGAAGATTAGTGAAACAACTATTAGTTGAATCTACACACCAACTACTAACACCACAGTTGAACTGAAAATTTTAACTAACTTCTGTAGTCTGAACCTGATCAAACATGCCATCAAGATGCACTAATAATTGCTGGTGATTGGAATGTCAAAGGCAGAACCAAAGAAGGGATTAGTAGTTCTGCCTTTGTGGCGGAAATGACACCAGAGGTTTCATGGTAGAATTTTGCAAGATTGATCGATTGGAAATACTTTTTTTTTCAGTATCATACATGGCAGTTATATCTATGGACTTTGTTGAATGAAATACATAGGAATCAAATCTTCAGAAAGACATGATGGCAAAGCTCAGTATCATCAGTTAGAACAAAGCTAGAGCAAACTGTGGCAAAGACAATCCTGTTCTCATACGCAAGTTCAAGGTGAAGCTGACGAAAATGGAAATGATTCCATGAGTGCCAAAGTCCAACTCTGATACATTCCACTGACTTTAGAGCCCATCGCGAGAAGAGATTGGCTATACTGAACACTAGTGGCCAAAGACCAGACATGTTGTGGGACAACATCAGGAATATCATACATGAAGAAAGCAAAAGATCATCCAGAGGACGAGAAAGAAAGGCCAAAGTGGACGTCAGAGGAGTCGCTGAAATTTGGTCTTGAATACCTACCAGCAAAGGATGAATTGATCAAGCAAAGAGCTACGCAGGAGATTTCTGTATAGAAGGGGTACCTCAAGGAGACAGAGTAAAGTATTATAATGAAATGTGGAAAGACCTGGGGTTTGAAAATCAGATGCATTTTTCAATATGAAAATAAAAGAATAGCAGAAAAATAATTCAAGCCTTGAGGTGGGGGATTCCATGGGCAAGATATTGAACATTGCAAGGGAACTTCAAGGGAAGATGGAAGGAATACAGCATCATTGCTTCAAAGAGAATCGGTCAACATCCAACCATTTCAGAAAGTAGCATATCATCAAAAATAAATGGTATAAAAAGAAGGCCAAGCTACGATAAAGGCATTGGTGGAAAACAGGACTCCAGGGACCGATAGAATACTACAAGAAATGTTTCAATGCTGGAAGTACTTACTCCTTCGGGCCAAGAATTTTGGAAGAGATCTATTTTCGTACCCATTCCAAGGAAAAATAATTGAACAGAAAGCAGAAATTACTAAATATAATTTATATAACAGAATAACAAAGTTTCTGTTAAAGATAACTTAAAAACAAACAAACAAAAGAACAGTTGCAGTAGCACATCCCCAAGGAACTGAGAGAAATTCAAGCCAGATTCAGAAGAGGATTCGGAGATATCATTGCTGCTGTCAGATGGTTCTTAATCGAAAGCAGATAAGGTAAAAAAATGTTTACCTTTATTTTATCCACTATGCAAGGGCATTCAACTAGGTGCTAGAACATATTATAGATAGCATTGTGGAGAATAAGAATCCCAGAACACTTCATTGTGCCTACACAGAACTTAGGTAGAGACCTAGAGGCAGTTCTTAGAACAGAAAAGGATACTTATGGTTTAAAACCAGGAACTGTGTACCAGTTTGGACACATCCTTTCACCATACTTATTCAATATGCAATCTGAGAAAATCATCAGAAAAGTTCACCTATGCGAAGAAGAATGTGGCACCGATATGGGAGGAAGAGTCATTAACCACCTATGATATACAGATGACAAAGCTATGCGTGCTGAAATTGAAGAGGACTTGAAGCACTTACCGATGAAGCGCACAGACTACAGTCTTCTATACGTATTACATCTCCACATCAAGAAAACAAAGCTCCTCACACCTCGTCCCAGAAGCAACAACCTGCAGACAGAGAAACTATTGACGTTGTCCAGGGTTTCACTCACTTGGATGCACCATCAGTGCCCGTGAAAGCAGTCGTCAAATCCAGTGACGGATTGCCTTGGGTAAATCTGCTCCAAAAGGCCTCTTTTAAGTGTTAAAAAGCGAAGATGTCACTTTGAGAACTAAGGTGCACCTGACCCACACCAGGGTCTTGTCAACTATCTCACACACCTGTGAAAGCTTGGTAAAGAACAGAGAAGACAGAAGCAGAACGGATGCATTTGAATGACGGTGTTTGTGAAAAATATTTTCAGGAGCCAGGATTTCTGCTGTGGAAGGAGCACAGCTGGATTGTTTCTTAGAGATGGGGATGGCAAGCGTGGAGAAGGAGGGCGAGCTTTGTAAAGTCAGGGATCATAGGAACGAGGAAAGCCCTCAATGAGGCGGCTTGGGCTCAGCCCCGGCAATGTGTGTGCGGATGGTGCAGGGGTGGGTAGAGCTTTATTATGGTGTGCCTAGGTTTCTATAGTCAGAACTGTCCTGGTAGCACCTACCACCCAAAATCACCATGCAAGGGCTCCATCTTCCGGAGGCGACCTGACACACTGCTTCTTGCGGACAAAACGTCCTACTTGCCAATGTGAGTGACTTAGTGCAAATCCATTTTTCTTGCAATCAGATAGGAATATGGTACAAGAAGACAAGCTCAAAGCAAACTCACTGCCAAGTTGACTGCAACTCACCGTGACCCTATGGGACAGGGTAGAACTGTCCCTGTGGGTGTCTGAGACTATAAGTCTTTACTGGACTAGAAAGCCTCTTCTTCCCCCCTCAGAGGGGCTGTTGACTCAGTATGCCACCAGAGCTCCTTGGGACACATATACAATGACCCCAGTCATTTAAATTTTCAGTCATCTCGTCCCTTGGTTTACAACAAGGTCTCCGGCAGCAAACTTTGATGACTCAAGTAAAAATATTTCAATTCAAACTCAATGACTCTTTTTAATGGTTTCTAAAGAGCTAAGTTTTCTGAGGGGGTACTTTGACCATGCTAGTTTCCTAAGGAAAACGGGGAGTTTTTCAGTGTCTGGGATTTGGCCTCCCTGTATTCTCTTCTCTCCATCTCTCCTCTATTTCCTTTATGGAATTCCATATCACTTAGGGGCTCACGCGGATAAGAACGCATTGCTTCAGGACTACTGGTGCATAACATTCCTGTTCAGTGCGCCACCATTCCAGCCAATAACGAGATTGTTGGTAATATGCTCGTATTCGCATTGGCGCAACCTCCCTTTTTCCGCAGATATTACTTCAGTCTAAGAACACCGATGGCCCAATGGTAGAATTCTCACATGGAAGCCTGCGTTTGTTTCCCACACAATGTACCTAGCAGATGGGTGGCCACAGCCCTTCTGTCACTGGAGGCTTGCGTGTTGCTGTGATGCTGACCAGGTATCAGAGGAGCTTCTGGGACATACTAGGAAGAAAGACCTGACAGTCACGGGGAGGGGTCAGAGTCAGGCAGCTAACAAAACAGTGACTATAGTCTGTGGTCTGATTCTGGCTCCCCAAAACACCAATCTCTTGGGAACCCTTCCCACAAAGGCAGGCAATCCCTCAAATTGTCAGTAACATTCAGGCCTGCTAGGTGTAAGGCTACCTACCATGATACATTGTAATCATTCTCACAGAATCCCAAATCTATCAAATCTTTTTCTCCTCCTTGAGGAAAGAGAAATTTTTGCCCACTCAGATTTTGGGGAAGCTCATGCCTTCCATCTTGTTCTAAGCGTTCTTAAATCCTTCATGATTTTGGTTGATCGGTGATCCAAGTTGAGAAAAGCCCAGGTTGAGTCTGTGTAGAGGATTTAAAATCTCTACAAGCTGCTTAGGAAACAGGTGGCAGAAAGGTCTCCAGTGTAGGCTGTCTGGGAGGGAAAGTGCATTCAGATTGTGGCCACACACTTGAAGATGATTTGGGGGTGGTCAGGGCACAGCGGAGACTTGGCTGGAGGGCTGCTTTGTGCAGGGCAGTGGGGTCCTGTTTTATCTGTTCAAAGTCGGTTTGCTACAGGGACAGGCTCCCGCTCAGATAGTATTGCATTCTAGGTAACTGTTTTAAAAGAAAGATGAACATTAGATGTGGTTGGACAAATAATTAAGAATGGAGAGTTTCTTTACCTGAAAAAAAAAAAAAGAAAATGTAGTTTCTTAAAGAAGTAGGAACTTAGGTATAGAGTCACCCAAGAATAATATATTTACAGTTTCCATAGCCTTGGTTTTGGGAGTGAAACTGTTCTCCAATAGAACACTTTCAACCTCCCCCCTTGGACGCACAATTGCGGAGGTTGTCTTGGGACAAGCAGTGAGCTCAGTTATGCGCTGAGGAAAAGGAAAATCAAGGGCAGCACCCAGCGGCTCAGCTGGACAGACGGCGCAGAGCTCTTCTGGTTCTTTAGCATGCACTTCACTCGGGACCAGGATCCGTTGTTGGGCAGCGGAGTGACGCCTGCCACGTTGCACATGACATTGTAGACGTCCACCGACCGGATGGGAGCAGCTCTGAAGTTGGCGTTGAAATCTGAAAGGAGAGGCAAACAGACTGTCACAGTCCCTCCTGGGGCAGACAGGGACAAAGTCAAAAGATGGAGAAAAGACAGTCAGGTTTCAGAACGCTCTGGGACTGGAAGATGCGTGGCTCCACCAAGTGGTAGCGAGGGTAGGTCAGTATTGGAAGGCGATGGTGGTTCAAACCTTCTCGGCAGCAGCACGGCGGGAGGAGAGTTGTTAAGATTACAGCCAATAAACCCCTATGCAGCAGTTCCACTCTGTAACACAAGGGGCCATCCTGAGCAAGATCCATTTGATAGCAATGAACTAGGATTTGGGGGGAATCGATTATCGTCATGAGCAGTCACCACCCATCTGTCCGTGGAGGCTTGCGTTCTGCGATCATATTTGGTTAGCAGAACTTCCATACTAAGATAGGCTAGGATCTCTTGCCCCAAACCAGCCATTAAAAGCCCTCTGGGTCACAATGGTCTGATCCACAACCAGATAGATGGCCCAGGCTCCAGGAGCATGCCTTTTCTCTGTGCACAGGGTCGCTGTGGGTAAGGGGTAGACTCTATGGCAGTTGAGAACAATAACAGCCTCTATTATGAACAGAAATCACTTTCATTGGCTCAGGAAGTGGAAGAAACCAAATCGACTCTCCTTGTGTTTGTGTGTGTGTGTGTGTGTGATGTGTGTGACCGAAGAGCTCTCATGGAGGGGCAGGAGTTGGACTGCCTTTTTAAAAAAAAAATCATTTTATTGGGGGCTCGTACAACTCTTATCAGAATCCATATATACATCCATTGTGTCAAGCACATCTTTTTCCTGCTGCCATCATCATTCTCAAAACATTTCTACTTGGGCCCTTGGTATCAGCTCCTCATTTTTCCCCTCCCTCCCTGCCCCCTCCCTCACAAACCCTTGATAATTGATAAAGTAGGATTATTGTGTCAGGTCTTACACTGTCCGATGTCTCCCTTCACCCACTTTTCTGTTGTCCGTCACCCAGGGAAGGGGTTATGTGTAGATCCTTGTGATCAGTTCCCCCTTTCTTTCCCACCTCCCTGCACCCTCTCAGTATTGCCACTCTCACCACTGGTCCTGAGGGGTTCATCTGTCCTGGATTCCCC